GACGGTGAAACATGCCCTTAAAAACCACTGTAAGGGGTCAGAGTCATCGCTACGTACGCTTTGCCATTCATCAGATCCCCCTCTATTCTACCAGCCTGGCCAAGAGAGGAGACAAGCCTTCATATCAAGACAAAGGGACTCGTCACTGTACTTCAAGGGTTTTATCTTGAGAATGTATGCCAAAGAGCACAGGAGGTCAAGGACTTGAAAATGATGAGTCAGCATTGGCGCCGCCATGCAGGATGAAACAGCAAGAATCCTGGAAGACAGCCGCCAGCGATGGACTGCTAAATCAGAGCTGTTCAAACTTTTTCTGCCAAGTTAAAAGTAATTGTGGGCCACAAAACATTGTAAAAAAAAAAAAAAAAAAAAACAGTGCATGATATTTTTATGAAAGCTAATTACCTGATTTCCATACAGAAAAAAAACATATATATGTAGATCATTTTAATTGTATTCAAGGTTACAAAGACATGATAAAAGTCCTAATTTCTTTTTATTTTGCCTTTTGAAACCCTCTTCTTTGGTGTAGTTGATAAATGGGTGCACTCCATTTTTGCATCTAATATATTTGTTAAAATAAAAGCTATCAAGTTAAAATAAAAGCAATAAAACACAACTTGTGTTTTAGAATAACTGAAGTATTTTGTTCACAGAATTTACTGAGACAATAATTGCAAAGCATGCTAATTTAGATATTTGAAGAAAAAGTTGAATGAATGCTGTTTTGATATCTACACACTTACAGTAGGGGCTCTGCTGGTGATAGCTGTTTGCTGGTTCTTCAGATCACACACAACCAGACAACTGATCACATGGTCTTCCTCTGGTGGGAGTGCAGATGTCAAAGCTGAACAGAGTGAGCGGCCGTATTCACCTGTCACCCTGTGCAGGTGCAGTGAACCAGCAGCTGTGCTTTTCCACAGACATTTTTCTCTTCTTATCACAATGTGAAAAGCGCTGTTGAAATTAATAAACTGAAGGATGATTTCGGTCCTTTTAGCAGCTGCAGGTTTAACACATGCTGGCTCACTGTCATGCTGTAGTGGCAGACTGAATAGAACAGACATATGGTTAATATGATTAGTAACACCTGTGCTTTATACTCTGATTAGTCAGAGCCTGGTGTGAAAAAATGTGGTCTGCTTCAATTTGTAAAGGAAACGGTGAAGTTAAATCTGAACCAGGCGATAATGAGAAAACCAAGGTTTGGAGAGCGGTGGCGCTCGTGATAAAAATTGGCGAGTATTTTGAACATAGCGAGCTAAATGAACACACTTAAAAGGTTTTATTTGAAATTCAATTTGCAGAATAATGTCCCATTGGCCTGAATGTGCAAATTAGAAGGAAGGCTGATTGACACAGAATGGCTGCTAAGAGGTGCATAAAATTGCATTTAGTTCAAGTGCTGCCACACAGAATGGTTTGCAGGTATGTAGTTGGACAACTTTTTTTCCTTAACCCTTTGCAGCTGTTATGTTTTATTTAACTCTGTTTTGTGATAGTAAACCTATATTAAACATTATACTGTGTGTGGCTTTCACTGCATTCTTTCTCTGTTCCAGAGTAAAACAAAAAGTCTTGATTGCACTAATTAGTGAACATCTTATATGCAAATTGGCCAGCTATCATAGCATTTTAGTAGTACTGTTCATAAAATGTGTATCGATATACAGGGTAATGGGTCAAATGCCTCATTTCAACCTACATCTGTCTTTGTAGGGAGCATTTAGTGAATTTGTCTCCAGATGTATAGTTTCTAGTCTGTAAATGTAGCTCTATTTCTTAGAAATTAGAAATAGAACTGGATACATTGACAGTGGATGCAAAAAGATGGCACAGTCTTGTTAATATGTTGGATTTTTGTAATATAGAAAATTCATAAACAGCATCTTGACATAGTAAAACTTGTCCATTCTTTCGTTGTGGCATAAAATGGCTCTAATGATACAGGACTATGAATCTGAATAACCATAATTTGAATTATTCTTATTGCTAATTTGAATTATTCTCAATGCCAGTAGCTCTATTATATAATCTCTATCGTTGCTACACAGAGCATTTAGAAAATGAGTAGCCTAGTACATCAGCTAATTTAAACCATCTTCTCTTCTCTCTTTTTTTTTTTTTTTTATCAGATTTGCATTTGAAATATTGGCTTCAGAATCCAATTTGTCCCAGTAACTTTAGGTAAAGGTAATTCATTTATATAATATATATATATAATATATATATAATACAAAATGCTTCACAGGTTTTAAAAGAAAATACAAAATAACAAACCAAAGGCTAATAATGTTGATCCAAAGTAAATAAACGAGATACTCCTATTCAGGATTGGTAGATAAGTATAAGTCATCCTCTGGTCTAATTCCTTTTCTGGTTTAGAAGAATACTCCTGTTCTAAAAAGTAAAATGTAGTTTTTCTGGATTGCAAGCTCTGATCCTTGCAATCCACTGGGATTGCAAGGGAAACTACATCAGTGTAAGTATTATCTGAGTGTGCTCTAAATGTGTAAAAGTAATGAGTATTCTACAGTTTCTAAGTAATAAAAACAAAATGTTCTTGTTCTGGAAGAATTCTTTTTGTGGTCTCACCAAAAGACAGGAAATACCATTTTTACATTTCAAAATATCAAAGATATCGTCAGTGTCATCAGATTTTTTTTGTTTGTTTTTTGATGGCCTGTGTCTCAGTGGATCAACATGTGAGTAGGACTATTAAATGCTTGGAGCACTGTGCAGCTCTTTGCACTACTGTGTTTTCAGCTGTGGTTCCTTGATTCCATACTGCCATCTTGTGGCCACACAGAGCAGCACATGTTAGTACACCGCTGGGGTTGAAAGGTTTAAAGGAACCCTGCTGTACCTAGCAGGGATCAGTGAGCTGTTGCAAAAATGATTTGTGACGCAACAAAATCTCCACTATCATATAAATAACAAGGTACAGGTGAGTGTCATTAAATTAGAAAATATGGAAAAGTTACTTTTATCTCAATAATTATACTCAAAATGTGAAACATTTATATAGATTAAAAGGGGAGCTGTTTCAAATGTGTTTTTCTGTTAATTTTGATGAGATTTGTTGAGAACTGAATGTGCTTTTTATCATGATAACATTTTTTCAAGGAAATAAATCAATCTCTATATCAGCAAAATGCTCAAGAGGATACTCATGTGGTTGAAAAACTAAATATGAACTTTAATGTCAATCAAAGTCATGTTTGTCTTTAGTCTAAGTTAATACCAAGCCTTAGCTGTAAATGTATTAAAATGCAAACCAAGGAATAAAGAACAAAACAAGTAATGCAAGACTTTTTTTTCTGTTTTTAAGCAATTTCCTCTCTAGTGTGTCTTCTGGGTGCAGCTGGGTAATGAAATCATTAAAAGGAGAAATCTGCAATCTGCTGCTGCCAGGCAGAGCAAAGTGACCTGATATATCCTTAAATGAAAGCATCTTGCACAGCTCTCCCATTAAAACTAATTCAGTGTGTGTTTTTGTGTGAGTGTATAAGAAAAGTAGGGATCTTAGATCATCTCACATTCTGCTCAAAGAAAGAAAACCTTCAGGGAATTAAGACCCACACAGACCCTCTGACTGGGACTAAACAAACTGATTCATGCGAAGGTTTGCAGACTTTACTTCCTTCAATCTTGTTTGAATACAATTCACTTTGCAAATCAGCTGGTTGGTTAACTTTAAAATTATTCTGTGATATTCTGATTATGTTTTATCTTCCAAAGTGTTCAGAAAAGATCAAATCAACATGAACAACATTTATATTTATCATGCCAACCAGGATAATTAGATTACTGTTACTTCCCTGCAAACGTACTCCAGATTGAAATTGTAATTTTGTATGTGAGCATCTCATGACAATCACATATTCTACTGTATGTAGGAAAGACTTTGAGTTAAAGTATTTCATTTCATTGCTGTATTTTACATCTATTTGAATGAAAAAGTTTAAACACAAAAATTATTTTATTTTAAACAATTGAATAGTCAGAAAGACGTGATTTTCTTAAATGATTGTGGAATTGGGTTAAATATTTAACAACATTGTTCAAGAAGAATTTTTGGTGATGCACTGTGCATAAAGTTAAAAGAATGAAACAAATCAATTTTTAAAAAAGACAAATTTGATTATATTGCAAATGATTGAATATGCAGAAAAAATAAAAGATGATAAAACAGATAAAGAGGAAGTTTTATGGAAAGTGAATCGAGGTTTCAAATTATTATCTCAACTGATTAAAAGTTTAATCACAAGGTTAAGGAGCTCTCATAGTTCTGAAGAACATATTTTATGCTCTAACATTATTTTGAGGAAGAGACAAAAGAAGGAAAGCGAGAAAATTATTAGGAATTTAATGTTTCGGAACCACATCTTGTTCATTTGCTTCCAGCATACAACCGTCCAATCAGCATAGGAAGACAGAGGGCCCATAAAGGGTCAGAGGCAGCTGCTCAATTTGCTATATTTAATTTTCTCCATCTCTCCCCAAGTAGAAATCTTTTCTACCAGTCGGTCTGTTTGCCCAGTGGTTGCTTTGAGACTAGCAGCAGTGTTTGTCTCTCCTAGCATTGAAGGGACTGACACTTCCTCACTTTGCATTCAGAATGGAGTGATATTCAGGAAAAACACAAAATGTGTCACAGATGGCATAATCACTCGTTTAACTATTTATTGTTCTTTCACCTCGTCAGGATCTGTTGTCAATTTGGAGCTTTGGTTGAGAATTAGAACTAAGTATCCATTCTGTTTTCATTCCTTTCTGAACAGATATAATAAAATAAAGTATTTTCTTTTCATATCTGCTCACCAATAAAAGTATTAACAAAACAGTAATGATTATTACCAGCCTTTTTATGTTTCTTTCTTAAAATTACAAGTTGTTTTTGAAGGAAGAGTCGGTTCTTCAGCTCTCAGGATTCTTGTTAGGTGATGAAAAGCTGCTTAAACGCCTTCAAACAAAATTGGCAAAGCATCAACAAATAACACATTAAGCCTTTTTATTGCTATTATTCACATTCGTACACCAGGATATCATGCATAGTGGTATTGTTTATTTACAGTAAGTAAAGCAACTGGATGTTATTACTGTGTATAAATACATTTGAGAAGAAAATGTCCCGTAAAATAAAGTTGTCCTCTCAGTTGGTAGTTTATAACCGACCCATCCCCCACACTGGGGAATAAAAGGTCTCTATTTTTCTTTAAATATATCCCTCCAATGGCCCACTGACGTCCTTCAGCATCTTTTCCATCCAAAACAATGTTCATTCAGTGTTTTGAAAATAGGACCGGATGGGTGTTCTCTGTGTTGTGGCTCTTTGGCTCCACATTTACATGCATATGTCAAGCTTAACTAGCTCAGCAAAGTAATAATAATGATATTAAATCTAAAAAGTACATGTTTTCCAACATCAACAGAGAAGATGTCACTCACAGTTTGGGGTTTGAGAATTAACATTTTCTAAATTTTAAATCTCATGTTTGGCAATGAGCTTTCTACCAACCCAGTCCTCACAATTAGATTTTTACAGTGACTAATTCTGTATGTCAGACAAAAGAATGTAGAAGGAAAACAGATACACCTAAAACCATGCAGAAAGGAAAATAGAAACTGAAAAGATCCTATTTTTCATAAAACATCAGGCAAAAGAGACAACTGAAATGTTTGTCTGTAGACGGCAGACAGTGAAACAAATATAAAACCATGGAGCTAAAGCAGGTCATTACTGTACATTGACAGTTTAGCTCTCCTTGACAAACCCAAAATTAGTTCTTTAAAAATCAACTGTGATTTTAAGTCACCAACTTTGAATTCTTCACAGTAATATTGAGTAAACGGCAATAAATAAACATGCATCTCTTTAGTTCAACTGAATCCTGTTGTCTGAGTGTTGCTGTTTTCATCTGCTCGCCTACAACATGCAGTTTATTGTATTCTCCAGTGACTACAGAAACAATCATGGAAGATTCTTTTCAGCAAAGCATTTAAGCATTTGACACTAAAGGGAAAACTAACAATAATGAAAGCATCTTCTTTGGCTCATGTTCCTGTGAGCAAACAAACCAAGGCATTGTGAAATTGGGTTTGTTATGTTTTTACACCTACTGTCCAGATTATAATGTGGGGGCCACCACATTATAATCTGAACTGAAAGCCCAAAGATAAATTTCAAAAGTAAACAAAGTTAAAGTTAAAAAATAAAAAATAGTATATTTTATGATCCCTAACAGAATTATAAAATTGTTCTTCTTTCAAAGAGAACAAGATCAAGCATATCATTGTGATCACCAGCCAAATACTGGACTGGTTCCCCGTTAGTTGACTCATTGATGCTTGGGCTCCTCTACAATGCTGAAGGTGTTGCTGCAGCATCTTGTAAATGTTAGAAGCATGTCCTCTAAGTCCTGTTAGCTGCAGCTTTATGGATTCATGTCAGTCCAGTGGATTTAGATTTGGGAGATTTGGAGGCCAAGTCAACACCTCAAACACGTTGTTGTGTTCCTCAAACAAAGAAGATACATTCAGACAATTGCAGTGCTTCCATAAATGGGTGCACATGATCTGTAGCAATGCTTGGGCAGGTGGCGTCAAAGTCAAAGTAACATCCGTGAAGACGTTTTGCAGCAGAACATTGTTGTTATCTTCCTGGGGTTTTGTGTTCCCCACATCGCCAACTCATGCTCCCCTGGCCATTCATGGATAATTTATCAGATTGTTGGTTATTTCAGCACTGAATAGGCGTCAGCAGGGCAACACACTATGAAGGTCTATGCATTCTTGCCCCCTTCTATCAGAACTAGTATTAAATTAATCTGCAATTTGGTCAGCAATGGCTTTTCTGTTGGATAGATCCAGTCTATCCAGAGGACAGCCTGTACATGAATGACCCTGTCACAAAGTCACAACTTCTCCGTCCTTGGGCCACTAAATAGAGACTGGCCACTGCAGATGGGCATGTTGGATGCTCTGACCCAGTCACAAGGCCGCTATAAACTCAAATCCTAATGTTTGCCCATTTCCCTCTTTGCAACACATCAATTGTGGGGACACAGTGACAAAAATGTTATGCCTGAAGGGTGTACTTTTGTTCTATATTTTGTTCTGACCCTGTCACCATTACACTTCAATATGTGTTCAATGGACACAGTGGTTTCCTATTGTTTTTTTTCTGTGAAGTTGCTGCAAAAACACAATCACTGGCTACACTTAGAATGCTTTTTATGGCTTTTAAAATGGAATAAAGACGTTGTAGCCACTTGCTGCCCCATCATGGTTATGTTAGCATTTACTGGGACGGGATTTCTCCCTTCTTTGTAGAAGTTGAATCATAAAAACCAAGAAATGCTGTGCTGTTTTGTTTTTGTTTTTCACAGTGCACAGAGGCTTCCATCCTCTTTATTTTTGGGGGGGCGGGGCATTTCATTCCCATTCCACAAAGTCTGGCCACTTCTTTATGTTTTTACAAAAGCCCAGCGAGAAACAATTGCTGAAGCCACAGAGAGAAATACTGCATAAATAATGTATCGTTCACTATCTCACTGTACTTTAAAGTGTGGCAGTCCTGCACATCCACATGTCTAATTTGTTACCCTGTGGGCATTATCACCACAGTGTGAATTGGCAAAAGCTTAACTATCTACATCCAGAGCTCATGATATGGTGATAATGGTTTGTTTCTGTCTCTGTCAGGTTTTTTTCATACCACAGAATTGATTAAGAAGATAATATTGTTTCCTTTTCCACCTCAGTGGGGAAATTTAGTTCAATTTAAGGCGCGTCTCAGGAGACAAGATTGTAATTTACCACAGCGTCACATGAGCAGGCAGTGTTATTACAATAATAATATGTTCTAATAATATTAAATATCCCTAAAAAAGCATATTTGATCATTTTCTACTACTTCAAAAATGGTTTGATATATACAGTGGGAGGAGACACCTCCATTTTTAAAGTTTTTTCCACTTTCAAAGAATGGAGAGGTCAGTATTGTAAGAGACAGAATCAAGAAGAAAATCCAGAAAAATTCTGTACCATTTGTACATGAAGTTGGTGTCTTTTTTCAGTTTGGCACATTTATCCACCATTTATGCCACATAATTTATTTATACCTCAGGTATTTTAGGATGGACGATTTCTTACAGTTTCTTTTTATATTATGTGTTATTTAATAACATGTAGTGTATTCATAAAATTCAGAATGTGGTGTTTCTTAATAGGGAGTTTCAGACTCGTATGATGATTTGTGTAATAAAATCAGTTTATAAATGATTAAAGGCCACTATATATATTCATATTCTCATTAAAAACAAAAAATGCAAGCAAACAAAACCTGACTGCTTCGTTAAAAAATAAAAAAAAAGCAACCCACAGGCTGACAGAGAAAAAGATTTTTCCAGCTCTGACAGAAGCGATCATCCATTTGGAGAAAGGTTTAGCTTTTTTTTTTAACACACTCTATTATGGGTCTTTTCACCTCACAACTGCCATCTGTTTTTTCTTTTCTTCCTCCTAAATGTTGCAGAAAATAGAAGATGAAGTTATAAAATATCGATGATCAGTCCGTGACAGCAGAAAATCAAAGCGCTGTGGGAATTTGCTCTCACATAACAGCCCTTGTGAAATCTGTCACAAAGCCTTAAATCACAGCTCCATCTTAGCATGACTATATCTCAACTAGAAAGAATGCAATAGCCTTTTCCTAATTATCGATTGGTAAAACTGTTCAGACTTCTATGTTCTTTGATTAAAGACGGCCGTTTCTTTTTAGCAAAATAACTGATTTATTTAGAAAAACAGGTGAATCTAAGTATACAGATGAATCTAAGTAAATTAAAATATTATTAAAAACCTGTACGTATCATAGTGTTACTACATACAGTGATATATTTGTAGTCATTTCTGTTCATTTTGATTACAGCTACTTAAAACTCCAAATTTAATTTCTCAGAAATTTTAATATTACATCAGACTAATTACAGAAATCATAGCTACAATCTACAGATAGCAGCCTTGAAATTCAGGGCAAAGACTTCTAATTTGCAAGAAATAAAAACTTATTCCTATCAAGTTGGTTGAATTTTGGATCTCAATACATTTTTGGAAAGTTGTGTGGAAGGAAAAAAGTAAAGGTGCAGCCTTTTTTTTAGTGAAGCTGTTCATAAAACTATCTGTGGAAATTTCACTGATTTTGAAAAAAATACCATCCGCAGGTGTTGTTCCACCCTGTTTTGGCAGAGTCGTCTGAGCAACAATCAACATTTAGAGCACTTTATGCTTTCCACTGTTGACAAACAATATGGAGATCCTTATTTAGATTTCCAGAAAACTATCCTAACGTAATACTAATACAGACAAACGACTCCAGAGCCAACAATCAGAGTAGTTAAAAGATGTCATTAATAGAACGAGCTTCCATGCAGTTTATTCAAAAGAGCAGCAACCAATTACTGAGCATTTATATTGTAAATGGGGATCATTTTTACCAGACTGCTATTTCAACTATCAATAATATTCTAATTTATTTAGATGCACCTGTTTTACTTTTTTTAAATAAATAACTAAATAAATAGATAAATAAAAACAATGGTCTCATTTGAGTTTGCTACTTTGCGTATGAAACCAAATGTAGAAACGGTATGAACCCATCTCAGAACACACCTTGTTAATGCTTTCTGTACATACATACAGTAAAATACACTTCTTGTCCACATACACGCTTTGCCTTACACACTGCTGCTCTAAAGCCAATACTAGAAGTACAGATAATATGTCCAGTAGAGTAGGTTGACAATGACAAAAGAAAGGGGGAAGGTAACTCTGGAGTAGTTGTCTATGTGGTGGGGGTTCTCGATGTGACAGCAGCTTATAAAGCGGAGGATTTTGCGCAGTGTGGCAAGAGTGGTGAGGCACCAGTTGGTGGGTTCAGGAGGGGACACTTCAGGCTTGGGCTCACTGCCTGAAGGACTGGAGGGGCCGACGCTGAGTTCTGCCGAGGCAGGAGCCGGCGGGGGAGTGACAGCGGGCTCCTTGCGTCTCTTGGCTCTGTTGGAGTGAGTAGAAATGGTGGTGATGATGCCGTTCATGTCGTCGTCCATTTCGTGCATTTGGTACTGCAGGACAAAGGTCGAATGGAAGCACAAGATGGATTAGGAATTTGATAAGGGGCTGGATGGTTCCTTAACATGACTATTACAACAAAGGTGACAGAATGAGAGCTACATCATCCTTCACATTTACTGGCACAGTAAAGATGTATAAAAAAACCTTTTAACCTTTAAAACATACAACAAAAATTATATTTCCTGATCTTGCTAAATGCTAATTGCTAAATGCAAATCACCATCCAGTTGGGCAAAATTACCAATTACGATTTTTCCACCCTGAGATGATGGTGAGATGAAAACAAGTGGTGAGCTGAAAATACAAGAGCATAAATGGGGACCCACCAGTTGCTGTCGAAAGGCTGAGCAAGAAGGAACAGCAAAGGTTCCATAAGTTATTGCTATTTTCATTTTGTCCCAATTATTGTTTAATATGAGATACCTTTTTCACTATCATTTACATACTTGAAGTTAAAAGGTTTTTTAGTTTTTTTTCCAGCAGTGGCAGTAATTGTAGACTGTGTCGTATGATATTGAACATGAACAACGATGCTTTTAAATATATAGCAGAGTCTCACCATCAACATGTGAGCATCAGCATGAGTTAGAGTGCAGAAGTGGGCCACGGCGTACTCAATAAGAGCTCCAAAGATGAAGCTAAAGCAGATTCCCAAGTAGACATCGATGGCCTTGATGAAGCAGTTGGCATTGGGCAGCGATGTCCGGGCTCCCATCATCAGGGTGGTCATAGTCAGGACTGTGGTCACTCCTGTCAAACAATAAAATCAGCATTAATCTATAGAGATATATGATAAACATGTTGTTGTTCAATGACTGATTCAAACCCAAAAAATTCTAACAGCCAGAAATAAATAAATTCTCTTTTAATGACTAAAACGTTGGTCTGAACATTTCTGAAAACCGCTTAGTATCACATATGAAAGTATTAACTGTCTTTTCTCTTTCCATATTTATTATCATAGAGATTTATTCTTAAAGCAATGGTTATAGATTTGTTCATAAAAATGTCTACACAATGCGTTTTTTTTTCTGGTTTGCACTAGACTTTGCGTTTTATGAAATATAATCATAGAAAGGCACAATCTACTGGTGTGTGGTTTTCTCTTTTTAAAATATGCAATAAATTTAACACCAACAATGTAAAAGTTTCAGTCAAATGTAAGGAAAAAAAACCCAACGCTAAATATGATACATTGGAGTTTTATGCAGTTAATGTCCCTGAATGAGTAAACTCAAATTAATTTATAAAAGTTTAATTTTAAAATTTGAATTATCTATTTATACTGATGAAATGTTTAACAGTTCTAAGACATTTTCTCATGATCACATAGAGATATTCTATAATGTCTAGTCAACACTCAATCATGAAGGAATTATGGTAATTACAGTTTAATTCTCTAAACTCTGCAATTTGGACAATTTACAAAGTGTTAAAGAGAATTCAGGTGGTCAGTGGATGAAACATTAAACAGATAATTTAGCTCATTATATCAAACAAGCAAGATGGATTGAAAACTGGCTTGATTGTGAGGGTGCCATCCCACTTCCCCAACCTTCAGCTGTCCGTCTGGACCAACACCAACAAGAAAAAAGCCAACAAAAACAAAAAACCTTGTGTAAAATTTATTTTTACATGGCCGTATAAATTTAAAATAACAGGACTAGAGTAAAAGAAATTGAATGAGATTCTCTAAAAAATAACTACAGACATCATGACTCCATGTGCTTCGATAATTAATATTTTGTCAGCTGTTAAAAGTTAGAATGAGTGCAGTCAGGTGGGTTTCAGGGTTGCAATGCTTCGCTCAAACAAAATCAATTCAGAGAGATTTTTGAGATCAAACCTAAACCAAGATTTGACCTGACTACATCTGAAATTCGTCCATTCAGTCTTTCACTCATTCAAGATGGGCTGTGAACTGACTGAAGAGAGTCCAGAGGAGCCAGAGTTAAAAAAAAAAAAAAAAAAAGTTGTATATCTAGAATCATAGGCCACTTAAACTCCAGTGTGATGCACAAACTTCTGAACTTTAGGAGTTCAAAGAAGTTCCTCATCACATTTTTTTGTTCCTCATCACTTTTTTTTGTCATAAGTTTGTTTTCAATTAAAACAACAGTTCAAAATCTCATGAATTTTTTTTTTTTGAGAATAAAGTAATCTTCCCTAGTGTTTTGGAAAAAATTACAGATATAGCTAATAGAAAAATATTCTTGAGTCAGATTTGATGCAATAGCAAACTGATGAATACCTATGCAAATTCGAGCTGGAACAGAGGATAAGGAAATCCAGAAGGACACCCATGAGAGGACCACCAGCAGGCTTGAGGGGACATATGTCTCCAGGACGAAATACAGAATGCTTCTTTTCAGCTCGAAGTGAAAAACCAGCCTCGGGTAATTGCCTTCAAGGGAAGAGAGAAAACTTAAGAAATAGCAATAACAGAAAAAGATGTAGATGCTAATTTTCAGCACAGTTGAGTTTAGCAGAAGTGGCATAAAAATGTGCCTAATTGGTATAATTCAAAATATTCAAAAGTAAGGCACTTCTTTTAAGCCAAACTCAAACATTAGTCAAATATTTAGTCTTTGTTCTCACCTGTTTCATAGACAGCTTCTGAGACAGAAGTGTAGTGGTCCTCCACGGTGTACTGAGCCAGTTGGAGGGTGTCTAAGCCACTGACAGACTCGTTTCCTCGGGTCCAGTAAAACATGACGTCGTTGATGTTGTAGCCCCCTGAAAAACAGTAAAGAGATGAAATCTTTTCTCTTAAGTTTGTGTCTGTAAACCAATTTTTAATCCTTTGTTTTAATTATTTGTTTTATGACGTTATTGTTCATCTCTTTGGCAACAATGTGGGATGTGTTTCTTCATTTTATTCATAGGGTATCTGTGTTGTCATGCATGAGCTGGAATATTACATCATCAAATGTCTCTTTCCTTTCCTATATGATGACTTGTTACACAAATTCACATAAATAAATAAATAAATATGCTAGCTTGCACTTTGTAATGTGGAAAAATTTATTTATATGCACCTAAATAACTGGATATCCCTTTGAAATGTGGAACAAACCCGTAAACATGCACACATGAGCATTGGATCAGTGTTACAGCTGTGGATTTTATAGAAACAGAATAATTGATGTTTCCTTTGCTAAAGCCTGAAGTGGCAATGAGAGAAACAGCAGGGAATGTTAATGGCTACTATCTGTGCAATGTTCTGATCTTATTAAGACTCAGTTGTTTAGGAATTGAGCTTCACAGTGGGGGCCTGGTAAACTGGGCATAATGCTAAATATCTGCAACAGGAAAGACGTTCGAGGGAAGCAAAATGAACTTCTGAAACGGAAGACCTCAATTTAACATTTAAAAGTGAATCTATTAGAGTTCAAAAAATAATTAATTGGTGCTTAAATGTTTTCATTTGTTGCAGAATTTCATGCAAGTGATCGGCCATGTGATGCAGACCCATCAAGACATTTTGTCACATTACGACTGGGTTTATTGGAAGCTGTGTAGAGTGATAAAGAAGAGATAAAGTGACAAAGAAAGTGTGAAGTGGAAGGAAGAAGACACGTGTTTCTTCAAAACTTTTAAAGCAGCATCATATCTTACATTAGCAGCTGGTCAGGTGGAAGTTTATATTTCAATAAACCTAAACATGCGGCCAGAACTACTGGAATGATTTAGATGAAAGAATATTCGTGTTTCAGAATGTCCTAGCCAAAGTTCAAATATGCACATTAAAGTGATGTGCATATTATTGCAACACTGATTCCAATCTTACTTAGTTTAATCTTTTTTGTAAAGACAAGTAGGAAAAAAGTCTAGTCTCTTAAAATGCAAAGCAGAGAAATACCCCTTAATATGGTTCTGCAAGCACTGAATCATGGGGTATAGAATACATTTGCATGCCACACTTTTCAGATGGATATTGTTTGGTTCTTTTTTAAAAAAAATAACTTTTTCTTCTACTTTACAATTGTGAATTATATTGTGATGATCTCTTTCCTGAAATGTAAATAACACACAAGCATTGGAGTTTGTGGTTATAATGTGACAGAGTGTGAAAACGTTCAAAGGTCTGCGAATGCAAGAGACTGTACTTCTGTTCCTTCACTTATTCAAAGATGGCAAAAGAGTGCAACAAGATCCGAGTGAGGAGCATCACTCTTACCTCGAAGCATAACACAAACAGACAAAGCATGCATATAACACAGCGCCCTGGAGAACAGAGATAACCCAATTAATTATTGTTCAAAGAAAGCCTGAAAATAATCAGATGATCAAAGACAACAGTCGTGTGTGAAAGGGTTTACTGTAGCAGCATATAAGTCTAGTATTGTAAAGTTATAGGAATCATCATGTGGTTGATTTTCAGTTCTAAAAGCCAGACCTGCTTATTTAATGAGGTTAAAAGTCTCAGATGCATTTTCCAAATGTATCTGCAGAGGGAGTAAGAGAATAAGAACTGTAGTTTGAACCCCAATGATCTCCTCTCAGACGAAGCTGAAACCAGTAGGTCTGTTAATAAACTTGTATCCTCAGAAATACAAGTGCTGCAAGAGTCTTCACCTCACTTAACCCAAAGTCATGGATTGATGACATTAACCCTCATTACCAGTTAAATGTGGGATACGGTAGACTTTGATGCCTTCAACAAATCACAGTTTTGTCTCAAACCGTGATTCTTAAAGGAAGAACTGATCAGTTTTTTGACCTGCAGCATTGGCACGACACAGGAAGTTAAACGCTGGCATGGAAAAGTCGACCCCTCAGTTCCAGATTCTAACAAAAGACTTTGCAAAAGGTGGCATCCAGCACCGACATTTTATTTCAAGCACTACAAAAGAATGGCACTTTGTTAATGTCTGTTGCTGCCAAGAAGCATTAAATATTTTACTGCATCCTAATTTAAACACCCCACACACTCCCACAACAGCACTGCCTTTAAAGCTTCCTCCTGCGCAGAGGATCCAATTCTGGCATGGCTTTAAAAGAAATAAATCCTCGGATATACATTTTCATAAAGAGACACCGGGACAGCTAGAGGAGGACAGGATGTGATATAGAAAAGAAACCGAACATCCGGAAGAGATAGAAACAGAATTGAGAGGAGAGAGGAAAAGATAAAGAGATATTTAGCCAAGAATTATTGAGGGTCCAGAGGAAGAACCCTCTCCTCTCAGTTACCTGACTTTATCCTTTAAATGTCTTTCTGTCAGCTAAGTGGCACTGGAGCTTGAGGTAAAGGTTTTGTGTGAAGCTGAGGTCTTGGTTGGCTTCTGGCAGGGATCAGACTGAGCCTGGCCTGGCTGGCTGTCATTTTACAGAAAAAAAAACAACAAAAAAAAAAACAACTAAAGCAAGCTGGGAATAGAAAGTGGAGGAAGATGTATAACATATTATATCCACCATGTCACCAAAGAATGCATCTTCTTTCAGTCAAAATAACGTTTTTATTTCAGGTACTCTTTACTTCATGACCCCATATAAATAAAAAAATATATATCTACACTGTGTTCCAAATTATTATGCTCAGCAGATTTTCTAAACATTTTATGGATTATAAAGAACTGCAAACAGTCATTCTTTGAACGTGCAGCACTGAGGGATCACATGTACTAAAAAACTATTTCAATCGAAAACATCTTAACAGAACGAGTTACACGTCAATACTTCTTTGATATCATCTGCACAATTCTTGCATCCATTGAACTTGTGAGTTTGTGGAAAGTTTCTGCTTGAATTTCTCTGCAGGATGTCAGAAAACCTTCCCAGAGCTGCTGTTTTTACATGAACAGTGTCCCACCCTCAGATCTTCTGCTTGAGGCAACTCCAAAGGGCTCAATAGGGTCAGAGGTCAGAGGAGGATGGTGACACACCATGAGTTTCTCCCCTTTCATGCCCATAGCAGCCAGTGACACAGTGGTATTCCTGGTAGCATTAATTGTCATGCATGAAGATGATTTTGCTACTGAAGGTACAGCTCTTCTTTTTGAACCATGAAAGAAAGTGATCAGTCAGACAGTCCATATACTGTCAGTTAAATCAGTTAGGGTAACACACTAGATTATTTATTTTTTGCAAATGCTAGAATAATAAGAGGAAGTTTTTTTTTCAAGAAATGCTATTCTGCAAAATTTTATCAAGTTTGTTTGCACACCTAAAAAATAAAAAACTAATTTGTTAGTGAATTTTCAGCAAGATTTAAGAGCTTGTTTCAGGAAATAATTTCCTAACATTTAACCAGTTCCACAGGCAGATTATTTCACTCCTAACACAACGTTTTGACTCCTAATTTTTAATCAATTTGAAATGAAAACGACCTCAGCAAAGTACATGAACTTTCTGAGTGATCACTTTCTCCAAATTTAGAAGTTTAAAGATATTTCAGAAATATAAGCTAGAATTGCTTTTTGAACTGTATGAGTTGGATCATAGGTTGCATGATGGTGCACCCAAAGAAAATGATTTATGCCTAAGCATGCTGGCAAACTTTAATCCATCTTTTTGTGTTGCTTCTGAAGCAATGGCTTCTTCCACCCAGAGTGGCTTTTCAGACCGTGTTGGTTCAGGATAAATTTCACCTTTAATGACCATACTCTCACAAACTAAAGACAGCAAGGTCTTACACATATTTTTCTTTTGTTCTGGAGTTGGTATGCTTATTTCACACCAAAACATGAAAGAAGGTGTTTTCAGAGATGAATACACAACTTTCCTCATGCAAAATGCATAAATTAAAAATGATTCATAATTCAATTAATGCACACCAGCCCCACAGCACCATGCTATGCAGAGACGAAGCAGCTCTACACTTCGCTCCCTCCTCGCCTTGTCTCTGAGGCAGAGGGGGAAGCACTGTATGATATGTGAGGCTATCAGTACAGAGGGGAGCTGAATACAGAAATGCATCCCACACTTTTAGAAGTTTCAAAACCGTGTCTACTGATCGTTCCACTTACAGAGGATTATGTTGTTCTTTGTTTGGTCTGTCACAGAAAGCCTGAGTGAAGTACATTGAGGTTTGTGTTTGAAACAGGAGAAAATGTGAGAACGCACTGCTCTGCAAGGCAGTGAAGGTGTGGCTGGATAGACACTGTTTGTGCTTTATCCGTGTTAAAGTAACATAAAAGCCTTACGCTCTGTCAAAGTTTAAAGGGTTCCTAAAGCTTCACAGAAAGTGTGTAGCTTGTACTTTTTCTACTCAGCAACTTTTCACTAACAAAGTAGATCATTTTTATGCGCAACCCTCTGGCTTTGTGTTTGTTTGTTGTTGCTTTTTTTAAATCGGAGTTGGCTGTTCCAGTGCCAAACACAACAAATTATTTCATTTTTACCTAAAATGTCCCAGTTTCCAATGCACTGTGACATCAGCTGTTTTTATTTTATTTTATTTTGTTTTTTTGCACACATGGGCAAAGACTGCACTTGCTTTTGCAAGCAATGTCGAAGATGAGAGAAAGTGATGCGTTTGATCACTTGTTTTGATCTCATTCACTTGAAATCACACCCACCCACCAACTCTATGTCCCTGCTTCAAGAAGCATGGCTCAAATTTTCTTAAAGAGTGAAATGTCCTTACAGCTCTCTAGTTGTAATGTGCAGGTCTGCTTGTCCATGGGGTACTTCGTCAGATCCATGTTACATGCCACAGTAGTGGTGATCCTGAAGAAAAAAGAATAACATGTTTTTTTTCTTATTAGAATCCATATTGACATTTGTCTTTGATGGGATGATAGTTGGTGTCACTAATCAGTGATAAACTCATCAAAGGCTCTCATTCTTACCACAGAACATGAAAATTATGAGATGCATGGAATGAGAAATGAATCCTATGGCATGTTAGCAAAATGTATAAAATTCAAAGCAAAATGTAATTATACAAAACATTAATTAAAAAAACCCAGCAGAAGCACCAAATTGATCCTAATTGTATAACAGCAACAAGCAGATCACATAATTCATATCAGCCACATTAGACATCCCTAAGGCATTTATCAATATGTTACCACAGAGATGTTATACAGCTAATTAGATCTGTAATTATTAGGCATGGAGAGGCACTGCGATGGATGACATAATGCAGCCATGACGCATCATTTCTGGAGGCCTTCATTTTTCATCTTTTCTTCAGAAATAACTGCATCCAGAGCCATACACAGCACTCTGCACATGCACAACAATCCACATGGTTTAAAGGTATATTTTTTCATTTGGTCAAGATGTTCATCAACTTTTAACTGCCAAAATTGGTAAAAAAAAAAAAAAAAAATATATATATATATATATATATATATATATATATATATATATATATATATATATATATATATATATATATATATATATATATATATATATATATATAATGAAAGAGAGTCAAATTATCTCAGACTAAATATCCTTAAAATGGAGAATGTTAAGAGTTGTTACTCAACCAAGCTTTTCACAGGCAACGTTATTTATATAATAATATTGACATATTTCTAAGTTATTAACGCCCATGAACTTGATTAAAACAACTTTTTACTCTGATAATTTTTCAGCATATTGTAACATGCAATCTAATATGCATATTAGATTTTGTTCAGAGCAAAATTCTGTTACTGCAATGAAGGACTGACCAGTAAATAGCAGCATTAACCAGTGAAACTCCAGTGATTTATAAGAACCTTTCTGCTTTCATCATCCACATCCCATCTTAAGATTTTATTGTGATAAAATTTGTTTATCTTTAACTTGTTGTTTATCAGTATTTTACCACAATATATAAAAGGACATACATAATCTAAAAAATGGACCCAGCGCCTTGTTAAAATCCTTCACTTTTAACTGCTGGGAGTTTCACAACAATCACTCTGACATTTGTAGCTCTTTCCCTCCTGGCCATCAGTGAAACACTTAGCACAGTTGTCCTTTTCTGCTTTTTTCTCCAGCATCATACTTTTCTCACCTCGCTCTGTCCCCTTTCACAGCTTGAATCCCCAGAGGTCGCCATGCTTCTCCTGACTTCCTTTTCTTTCATTTTCTTTGCTTTTGCTTGTTTTATTTTTGCTTGTCCTATTGAGCTCCTTTTCCCTCAACACTCTCTGTGTCACACTGAGGTGCAGCGAAAGCACGGTTTCCTGTGTAAAAGCAATGGCCCATGAAGTCAGAGCCAACCAGATGGAGACGGGTATCGACCAGGCTTCAAATGGAGTCATCTTGTCCTCAATGCACACCGGTCTTAAAAATGAAAACACCGATCAAAACTTTGACGGGAAAAGTTCACATTTTCTGTTTTTGAAGATAAGGTTTGGTGCACACAGGGACAACGTTGAGACACCTGGATAAACCATTTAAACGCACGCACAAGCAGTTACTCACCATCCAACTTTTGCATTTTTTGTTTTCTTTGTATTTATAACATGTATGACTAAGTCAAAACTGAAGTCAGAAGTGTTGCATTTCCTTCATCATTTCTATACCTGCATTGTTGGGAAATAGAAAGTACATCCCTTCATGATTCTCATGGTTTAAGTATCAGAGCATGACAAAAATAGTCTCTTTAACAAAGTGCTTATTTAGATCTAAACTCCAGTACCTAAAGATTCACCACATGTTTCCAGTATAATTATAAATTCAACAAAGACAAAAGGAAAAAGCTTCTGTGAAACTATGTGCGTCTTTTCAGGAAGATACAGGACAAAAAGTAAAATGGTCTTATTGGATTTAAACTGAACTGCACAAAATTTTCTAAAATAAACATTGTACTGATCTTTCAATCAGTCCCTTTGTGTTTATAGTCACTAATCAAAGTGTAAAATTATTTTTGCTTTTTAACACCTAAAGTTGAACTCAAATAATCAGATTGCTTTTTTAGCATTTCTTGATACATAAGACTCTAGAATTAGAAACATGGTGTACTTTCTTTCTCTTATCGTGTAATTCAGAATATCATGAATGTAATGTTGACACTCACACATCACATATAACTGAAAAATGTACAATGTGTGTACTTGGCCGAGAATATTTAATAAGAATGGCAAAAACTGCCAAAGGCTTGTCATTCACACAACACAATATCTGCGTTACACATCCAAACAGGACTTGGTGTTTCTCACACTATCCACACATCAAGAGCTTCTGGACTCAGACAATCCAATAGTCGAGTAATAGCGTGATATAACTCCCAGCATTGCAATCACATTATCTCAAATTCAGCCCACGCTTCCTCCCTCAGCCTGTTTCTTCTTGATTCTCTGGCCTACTTTTCTATTATCTGCTGGAGCAGAAGAAGAAGAAAAAACGAAACAAAACAAATGACCGACAATGCTTCTTTGTTAGCCCACCTCAGAGCATAAAGCACGGTCCCATTGGGGAAGATGCGGATCAGTCGGTTCTCCACGGTGATATCATGCAGGAAGGATTTTTTGGAGTCAACAATAAAAGTGTCCGGCACCCAGAGAAGCTCCACCAGACGCCCGTCGAGGCTCAGGCTCTTGTTGCCCTCAAACACCAGGCGCTCATCCGTCCAGCGCTGGCGGAGAAATATGGTGGCCGTGTAGTCCTGCAAGAATTGGGAGAAATATTTCATCAGGCAATTTCAACAGGCATGTCAACAAGAGGCTGACAGTCATGTTGGCTGCTTGATTTGTATGGATGAAATCGGTTCCTGGAGGCCCTCTGTGCCTGAGGCCACAATCATCCACTGCATAGCTTCAAATCAGCAGGTCTGTCCGAGTTTTTGAAAAACAAGACTGACTTTCTGGGCAAAACACTGACTCAGTGCCAAACATGATTAAAGGATGCAATATTTTCTTTAACTTTTTTATTTAACAGATGGAAATCTGAAACTTATAGATCTCATATATATTCAACCTCACTTATCACATATTTGGTTAATTAATTTTTTTCTTGCAAAACAATTTAATGTCAGATTGGATCTTAGAATAACTATATTCAAACCACGCAACATATTGTCAATACAGTGTAAGTCTGAACTTAGACTTGGGTCATTTTAACACATGAATACACGCTGTGACGTAAAGTAGCTCTGGGTTTGTGCTTAGTGTTGCTTGTTGGAAGGTAGTCTTCAGTTATAGTCTCTGTTGTTCAGAGAGATATCACCTTTCTATGAGTTTTTCTTGATCCCCACACGTATAATTTTGCATGTCTAAGCAGGGTGTTAACTGAACAGAGCATTTTATTCCACAACTTTGCTGTGTCCCCCACACGGCCAGCAGCAAATTGAAAATAGGACTTTCACAGCTTTCTTTTCACAATGGTTTTCCTCTTGCCAGTCTTCTATAAATCCCAGATTAAGGGAGTGTTCAACTGACAGTTGTACTGTCAAGAGATTATTTCACCCGAGGTGTAAAGGTCTCTAGCTCCTATAGAGTTACCATGGGACTCTTAACTATTTTCATTTTATCTTTAATTTTGATGTGTCGTGTAATGGATCTTTTTTCTAAATCCATTTATCCATTTCTAAATTTGTAAAAGTGTGGTAGTGGTCCCCTTAATTAGACTCGCTGTAGATGCAGGAATTGTCCGTGCAATGCTTAATTGTTGTATAAATGTCATTGTAACTGTTGGTTTGAATGAAAAAATATATGCATTCAAACATATATTTTTTGAATGCGTATAGTTTTGAGTTTTCAGACTCAAAACTACTGAAGTCTTGAGTCTGAAAAGAGCCAGCAGTGTGGATTCACCACTTTGTGGGTTCATTTCAGTTCATTTAATTTACGACACAGTGGAACAAAACAAAGCAATAATGTCCACAACAAATGTTTGCATGTAATACTAAATGACTTATGTATTGATTATAGAGTGAGTATCTTACCATGTTAATCTCAGAAATGGTGTCAATGCTAGCGATGTCCAAACTCATTCCCACCGTCACAGGACCATCTTCAAAACGAAGGTAACACTATTACTTCACATTTAGACAACATAGACATTAACATTTTGACGATTTTGCAAATGTTTTTGTCAAATGTGTTTGGATGATAAATAAAAAAAATATACAGCCTTTAAGTCTGTAGTGTCAAAATAGACCACTATTCCAAAAAGGTTGGTCTATTTAGACTTTTGTTTTTCCTGCCAGGCAGATATAATGTCTGGTGCTACTGATGACATGTTTGTAAAATTACATTTCACTAATTAGCAAAATAATTTGAGATTTAGTCAATGCCTGAAAACTCAATTATGGTCTATAGAAAATATTATATGCTAATAAATGAAAAAAATAATAATCCCCGATAATTTATAAACATAAATCTAAAGTTTTAAGTGTCTGACAATGCTTCTTTGATAAATACACTTATTTTGAAAGGGCAGTATTGTGTTTTCTAGAGACATTTTATAGCACAATCAAATAACTATGTTAACCTCAGTTGTAAAAATGCCACATACATCAAATATGACTTTGTAATTTAACACCTTGAAATTGTAGAAAAGTAACTCATATAATTAGCACAGTTCCACCAGATGTTTGCTAATTGCTTCTGGATAATCTGAAGGAGAAAAGAGAGTCCCATTGGCTGCCAGGAGACATTAAAGGATTTCTCAAACATGCATGAAAAGACCAAGGCAACACTCTAGGCATGATTTTGGTGAGGGAATAATGTCATAACACGACACAAAGCTCAAAAAAGAAAATTTTACATAATACTGCCCCTTTAAATCATTTCACACATTTTTTATCTGCAGAGCCAGTACCTCTCTCTGTGTGTTTCCATTTTAATGCATTCTCTTTTCTTTACACCTGGATTTCAAAGAATTCAATTACATTTGAGTGTATGAACGGAGGCATGAAATACTCAGCAAGGACATGCAAGCACAATTCTACAATTTAAACTCCTCCCATTCCCCATTACACCACCATCCTCTGACTGTTTTGTCATTCCCACATCTGCATGTCTGTGCTGTTTCCTTACCGTCAAAGAAAGGCCTGAGATACTTGTTATATCCTTTCATCAGCCTCTGAATGGTAGGAGGCAAAATCTCTCCTTCCTTCACTTCTGCGTTGAGCAGCGAGTTCTCTAACAACCTGAGAATAAAGACAGAGACAGAGAAAGGCTGAAATAAACGACAGGTCTCAGTTCTCCTCCCCTCTGCAGGTGGATTCTTCTTTGACGAATCCGTAGGGTGTCAACTGAGTTCCCCTGCCAGACTTAAAGGGCTGCTGAGCTGCAGATTAAAATGGCATCACTGAAATGGAGGACATGCTAAGAATAAAAAATAAATATCTTCAGGCAAATATAATTTAACATAAATTATTCCCTGGCCTTGGTCTGTTTTTCTGTCCATTTTTGTCTTTTATATGGTTGCTTTCATGAGTTTTTTTTTTTGTTCCACTTTCCTCCCTGAATGCTATCCTTACAGGCACATTGAAGTGTAGGAAGAGGATAATATTGCTTGCAATTTGAAGCAGGAGAACATTCCCAAGTGATGTGTGTGTGTGAGAGTCTGAATATATATGTTTGAGTGTAAATCACACCCTAAATACAGAGCTGCTCTGAAGAAAGAAAAAAAAACCCTGAGGCACGTGCCATGATGTAAGAGAAGCTGAAGCAAGACAGATCAGGCCATGTGCGCAAGCTGAAAAAACATTCACCTCCCCCCACTGGCAGCAGTCCCCCCATGTCACTTGTGAGCCGATGTATGAGAGGAGGAGAGCAAGCACTAAGCCTTAAAATGGGTACAATGTTTGGAACTCTTTAATATCAACCCCAGTGTGAGTCATGTGCATTTACAGCGAATATGCCTTAATGTATGAAAGCTTTACAAATTAATTGATGTAATTAAATCCCATATGATTTCAACGACTGTCACCCGCAAATTGCAGTGATTGTTTGCTTTGCTTCTAAATGTGCATGTAAACTTTATCCACCATGACCCTCAGAGGGGAAGCACATACAAATGCTGTCTGGATCGATTAATGAAGTGGCATAAGAAAATAATTTGGCAAAAAAGTTCCAAAGAATTCACAGCCATATCTCAATAACTTGGAGTAAAACTTAGATTCAAACCCTCCTGTTGTCCTCGGGTCATGTCGACCGAGGACAAGTACTTAAAAAACATTTTTTTAATTGCAGCTGCATACAGCAAGTTTAAATCTAACAGTCCTGCATCAGAACTACGGTGTTCATAACTCAGATGGAATTTTATGCTGAAGCAATTTAAATATGAACTTGACGGAAAAAATAAACCAGGCCTCGGGTCAAAATGACCCAAAGACAACAGGAGGGCATATTAAGTAAAACACATATCAATAAAACTTTATTTTCAAATTGGAGATGTTTTCTTACCAAAAGTTTAGACCATGCACTGTGCAGCCCCAAATCACGCCTGGTGTAACTTCCCTTCACAGTGGAAGGGGCTCAACAATCCTCTCAATGTGTGCCTGAGCTTCGCATACTTTTTCCTTCCACTGAGCATTCCAGTACCATACTTGGATACAGCTCTCTCTATTAGCAGCATTTTTTTAATGCAAATCTTATTCTGATTATTTTGAAATACAGTCTATATCCAAACATAAGGAGCAAAACTATCTCACACTGCTGCTGCTGCTGTACTTCACCGCATCAGTTCAGATCTGTATGTATTTTGCTAGTTTGTTAGATAAAAATCCAGATAGTTTTGGGTCGTACGGCTTTGACTTTACAGATTTCCAAGTAGAAACGCAAAGAAAAATCAGAGAGACAAAAAAAAAATAGACCTACTGATGTGAAAAACTAAACCGATAGTTAAATGTTCATTCTTTTTTGTGATAAGATGATATGATTCTATGTGCAGGAATTGAAGCATTTATTTTTATCACTGATATTTTAAAAATCAATACAATCAGTAATACCGCATGTAGATATTGTTGCAATCATTTACAGCAAAAATAAGCATTCAGATAAATGTTAAAGCCCCACAACTTCAACACAGCATCATTTACATTATTTGTTGCAATCTTATTACTAAACAGCACACAATAGCTGCATTCATTCAAATTTTCCATTATGCTTTATTGTTGCTCTCTTGGTACCAGGAATGGAAATAAATAGCTAAATTACAAACAAAAATGCTGTGCAAGCACATTTAAAAAAAGGTTTATCATTGTTACAATAATTCACAATTCATATTACAAAAAAGGAATTTCTGTTAATGAAAAATAGTGTGAGCATTTCTAATCTCTTTCCAAAATCACATGCAATATTTACAAATAAATGAGGCATGAGTGAGAGCAATCACTGACTGCTGTCACTCTCTTTTCCCATATTTTTTTCAATAGAATATTTTTCTCTATTTTTCGTTGTTTTTCAGTCACTGTATCGTTTTGTTTTGTCCCAATTGAAGCCTCCTGTGTCTCATCACTCTCTCTCCTCCTCTCTGTTTTTGTGTATATATATAGTCCTTCTCAGTCATTTTCAGTCTGCTTGCCTGCCAGATTTGTCAGCCTCTTCACCTGCCTGCTTGTTTTCCCACTTTTATTTTTGGGAGAATTGTTTTGTTTGCAGCTATTTATTCCAACGCCTTTTCTTTGACGTTCTTTTATTTATTTATTTTTTTCAAACGTAACTGCGTCTCTGTCCTTCTAAACTCACATAAAACAAAAAAAAGGGAAAATATCCAGTTCCTATCACTCTGAATGACAACAGGAAGTTTTTATTTTTCTTGGGCATAGCTTCTTTACCTCCCTGTTTTTTTGTTTTGTTTTGTTTTGTTGTTGTCCTGAACTGGACGCCCGAATCTTTAAACCCAAACTTGAAATCACAGTGAGGAAAAGACACAGAAAAAAATAATACTTTTTGCCAGAAATCTCAACTTGTTTCACCTGACTGTGTCAAATCAGCTAAGATGGGGGGTGCCTCCACCTTGACAGACTGATGCTATGCTGCATAAAGTTCCACTCACATGGCTGGCAGCCTGTTGTTTCAGTTGGCGGCTCTTTTGGATGGGGAAGCCGTGTTAGTAATGGTGCTGCCTGCATTCTGCTTCTCGTAAAATCAATCTGAGTGACCCTGTTTGACCCCCCTGATTCCCCACACAAATGTATGTGTGTTTGTAATAATAGACATGCAGGGGAAAAATGTAAATTAAATACATATGTACGCCATGCCACTAAAGAGATCCAAACTATACAGATTTATATATATTTTTTTTTTGTTTTTTTTTTACATAAAATCACAAACAGAAACATAATTGAGTGTGCTACCACATAACACACTTTCTAATGGATGAAAAACCAGGGTTGTCAGATAATGAGATGCAGCCTCCTTTTTTTTTTAGCAGAATGTCCACAAAGATCTCACTTCTCCTCTCATTCTGTCCATCTCAGTAAATCCCCAGACTCTAACTTTTGGCTGTCTAAACCTTCACCTGCAGAATGAAACTTGAGCTTTCTACTCTCATTCTGCCACACAGTTGCTAACCACTGAGCCCTGAAAATAAAAAAAAAGAAGCAAAGGAAACAGGGAAAGCAAAACAGATTTCTAAAACGCCCCAAGAATTCATGATTTTTTCCAATACAAGCAAATAATCTAAGCTTGTTTTGTCCAAGCGGCAACACAGATTGAGTCGGACATAAAGCAAGGATTTGTATTCTCTCGCCCATGTGCACTCGCAACAAATACCATTCGTATTCAAGTAGAGCAGGTCCTATCACCCCTGATGGTGATAGGAGCATGCACCATGGCATAACGCAGAGCCACGACCTGCACACTGTGCTGCCTATCAAGAATAACAAGATGCCACTGTTCCACAGCCACTAGAGGCTCTGACTTTCTAAGGTTACATGCATCTAAATCAGGGGTCTGCAAAGTTAGTCCTCAAGGACCCCTGTCCTACATATTTTATTTTTTCCCTGGTTCAACACACCTGGATCAAATGATGGCTCGTTAGCTGGCCTCAGCAGAACACTGCCATGCTGAGAAGGAAGAGACTACCACCAGGTACCAATACATCTTCAGTAAAACATAATAATTAGATTTCATTTACACAGCTTGGATAAAAACGATGAAGAAATTTCCCTTAGAGTTAAGCATTTTTGACAGCGGGAGCTAGCATCAATGTCGGTGTCAAGAGGAGCATCTGTTTCATCACTCCAGTTGATTTCTTAGGGTTCACCTTGGAAGTGATGGCATTATCAACATAAATGGATGTCTTTGTGAGAAAACAGCGGCTTTAATATGACAATCGGCCAGTCACATACAATCGAGCCAGGTGGAGGAGGAAGTGAGAACAGGAAGCAGCGTTTATTCTGTCCTAGTTTGTCAGGATCAGTGACTAATAAGCCCTTTGGATACTCATACACTTCCATTTTCTTTGTTGAATTTCTCTCTCAAATCTCTCCTTTATTCCTCTTTCTATCGCATTGCTTAAATAATGTATAAATGTGTTATTTAAGTGGAAAGAGGTTCTAATTAACCACGAAAAAGCCCATCAATGAAAAACCCGCAATGCAGTGTCTACGAGAAAAATCACAAACATAAATTGGACAAAAAAAAAAACAATTATACATAATTTATATGTAAAGACTAATAATATGGTAAGGGTGTAATGGTTTTGACACATACCTTGAGTTCTGGGTCAGTGCTTATTACAGTTACATGAAAGTAGTAAGAAAGATCTCTAAGTGCCAATTACTGGAAGCAGATCAAATGTACGAGTACTCGCCTCTGAATAACTGGAACTGCTCTTTAAAAACAAGACCCTGCATTTAATTCTGACCGGTCATCCTGGTATTGATCTACAGTGTTTGAATCCTCCTGCCAGTAAATAGTCAACATTTCTTCCTTGCTCTCTTCTTTTACGGACTGATTTCTGTGCCCTGAGGTCCTGCCTCTCCTTTCCCTCGTCTGACTCTACTGCAGGAGAGTCTTGTGTGATGAACATTCATAAAGATTACTGTGATAGGAACACCTCATGATGATTTTATGGAAAACTTACACTTGTGAACCTTCTGCACCAATGTGCAAGTTGTCTGTGGCTGAGCTCTTTAAATCTCTTTCTTTTGTCAGAAATGTTGTGGGAAGCACCTGGAGAAGGTTGGATTATGAT